TTTCAAGAACTGTGGAGAGAGATAATAGATACGAAAATGATAGACAGGGCATGTAATCCAGATTGGAGTTCATCCGACAAGAGCTCACACACTATATGGTGTCGTTTAATGAGTGTCTAGCTCTCGAATTTGCTTGAAACAATTTTCACGTTGAAATGAGTCTCGGTTGCGCTGCTGTCTTTGACGGCGGCGTGGCGGCATCCTGGTACGACAACCTCCTCTTCTTCCTCCACGCTTCCAAAAATGGCAGTTGAAGCTTTGGATCGTGGGTTTGTGAGATGGGAAATGGAAATGGAATAGCAGGGAGAGGATAAGGCGAAGTCATTTCCCGTGTTTTCTAAAAATCACTGTGTTTGGGCTTGAAAATCACAAAATGTGGTTTCTGTGGTTTTGTGTTTTTAGTATAATTTTTTTTTTCATTTTCAAAAACGTATTTTTGAAAACAGGATAGAGAACGTGTTTTCACTGTTTTGGAAAACTGAAAACAGAAAATGATCCGAAAATGGCAAAGAGATCAGGGCCTTAAGATTTATTATTTCCTAAAATAATAATAATGTCCATGCTAAAATCTGAGGATTATTATTTAGAAGCCCTAATTTATACAAGGTTATTCTGGTCTTTTGACTTTGTATACATACGAAAAAAAAAAGTCAATTCCTTACAAAATGTGAGTCCTCTACGAAATTCAAGAGCCTTGGGATCAGTTCAGGAAATTGTCAACTGTAAGACCTAAATTAAATGCACCAATTTCCATTCTTTCAAATTATAATTTTTAATTATATATTTTTATACTTTTCCACCACTTCCCATGTTAATTTAGATTTCATTAGTCAATTAAATTAATTAAATAATTAATCTCTGGTGATAGATATATATTAATTACTCTATTCGTATCTTCACACAAGATTTTATACAGTTTTAATGGCGAGTTTGTTTATAAGTTAATACAGTAGTTTTGGATTCAACAACGATAATTAAGGTTGTCACGGTTAGATGTATAATCGTTGTTGGAAAAGCAATGTTATAAAAATTGAATTCGATCGGTCGCTTTAATCAAGAAATTTGGAATCAATTCAAATCTGACATGATTAAAAAGCTATTAATCGGCCTATGAGTGTAAAAGGAGATGCACACCTAGCACAAATGACACGTGACATTCTCTTATTAGACAGATTAAACAGAAAATAGTTTTTACACCGAAATTTTTTTTGACAATACTGCAGGTGTCAACAAGGGTGGCAGAAGTGGGCGTTATATATGATTAATGAGCTCGTTAATGTCTTAATAAAGCACAAGATTCCCTCGTAACGGCACTATAAACTTAGCTAAAAACCCTTTAAGATTTCAAAAAAAATTCCTCTATAGATGACCATACTATCACCCATAGGTAAGGTAGATTATGCATTATGCTGGAGTGCAAGTTTGCTGCATAATCACTCAGATTCCAGCTTGCACATGGTCACAAGTTAGGTATAGATTGAATTAAACGTTTCACGTGCATGTTAAATTATGCATATATTAGTGAAATTCTTGCCTGTACTTGCTTAAGAATTGAAGTGCTTTGAAATTAATTTCCGTCTCTGTACTTGTGTAAAACCTGATCAACTAACTTCAGACTCGAAATTTGTGGGGTTTTATATAAAAACATAAATAGCTTATGCTAGAGCTCTCAAATGTGATTTTCCATACCTATTGCAACGAAATATGAATGAGTTTCTTTACCCTCTCTCTCTCTCTCTCTCTCTCTCTCTCACACACACACACACATGCACGAATTATTTTATTTCTCCTTCACACTCTTTAATACCCCTATAATTTTTCTGACCATTTTCTCCTGCAAGCTTTTGACTATGTTTTGTTAGGTGGCTGCGGGGTGGCCGGGTGGGCGTGGGTTTAATAAATATGGAGCAACATTAGCAGCCATTAAATGACAGTTCAACCTTGGGATCATTCTGGTCTCTTGATCAGTGATGGAGTAAACAATTTTCATTGTGGGATAGACTAAAATTAGGTTGAAAGTTCGTTTTTTTTTTCAACATCTTTTTCTCTTAACACTTGTTCCACCAATAATTTGCTCTACACTCGAAATGGAGATGTTCATTTAATATATTTTTTTGCGATTATTTGACATAAAATTCAACAAATAAATGAAGCTACTAAACCCGATGGAACAAACAATAGTTTTCAAACATTGGTTTATTGCATTATCAAACATTTTATTGAAGTTCCTACGAATATTCAAGATAAGCATTCTCAACTTCTCATGAATCTCAGTTGTCCTACCTTACAAGATTTTCGATGGTACAAAGACACATTTATTACTCTTGTCTTTCTTTGAAATGACTGTGAACAAGCTTACTGGAAAGAAAGATTTCTTTCTGAACTTCCAAAACTCTTTGCAAAAAGAGTGAGAAATTCTCTCAAAAGGGAATACAATAATACTATTCCTTATGATACTTTTACTTATGGAGATATAATTTGTGCTGTTAATCAGGAAGTATTAGCTCTCTGTAATGATCTCAAGTTCAAAGCCAAATTGAAATCAGAAAGATCTGATGGTCGTAAAGAACTGGGATCATTTTGTGAACAATATGGATTTGAAAAAATCATTCCTCCTTCAAGATCAAAAAGGAAAAAATATTGCTTCTCATTTCAAAAAACGATCTTCTCGAAATTATTTTTACAAGAAAAAGAATTTTCAACATTCTCCTCCAAAAAACTTTTCAAAAAAAAAGTTTTCAAAGAAATGGACTTCAAAT